GGCCGAAGTGGGCGCAGCCGGGGTGTGAGCCCCGAGTGCGGTCGGGGACCGCGGACGCCGGGCGCAGGTGAGCGCGCTCGCGGCGTAGCCGGGCTGGACCCCCGCGACCGCAGAGCTCAGTCCCCACCAAGCCCGGCTGAAGGCACCCGGGCCAGGCCCGGCAGGGGGCGTGGTGGCTTGAGGGCGCTGGATTCCCACGTGGCCAACTGTGGTTCGAGTCCTGGACCTGGTGGCTTGCTCGCTAGCTCGCTCTCTCTCTCTCCCTCTCGCTCTGTCTCTCTCTGTTCAAATGGAAGTAAATAAATAGCTAAGTAAAATAATTCTTAAAAAAAATAAAAGACAGCGGGGTTCGGAAAGAAGAGGTGACCCGGGGCCGCAGGTGCGGTGGGCTGCACCCCTGCACAGCAGCCCCGTTACCGCCGCGCTGGCACCCGCGCAGGTTGTTCACTGGGACACGGTGCCAGTGTCCCCCCTTCGGTGTCTCACACGCACGTGTAGGGGTGATGAGTTCTCCCAGAGAGTGGGGGCCAGCAGTGTAGCCCGATCCCCTGCGGGAAGCTGAGCAGCACTTGCTGTGAGGTCACCCAGGCCATCCCCACCTCCAGCCAGGAGATCAGGAAGGCCTTCCAGGGAAGGAAAAGGCCCACGTTTCTAATCCTGGTCTTCCTTTCCGTCGCCCTCCAGCAGTTTGGAGGGGCGTGGCACACAAACCAGGGGACATGTGGTGTTACAGTGAGAGCAGAGGGAAGCCACAGCTCTTCCTGCTGGGGCACTCGGGGACACCTTCAGGAGAAAATGCCATTTGTTGGAAGTCGAAAAGAAGAAAACTCCAAATAGGTAGAGTATGTCTGGCTTCTAGCCTTGTCTCTAGAGCTTTAGTTCTAAACGTGGTTTTTGTTTTTGTTTCTGTTTTTTTTTTTTTTGGTTTTAGGTTTTTGCCATAGGCTTTGTGCGCTCATCAGAGAGAGACAGAGAGACAGTGAAAGGGAAAGGGAGAAATTACCCCCTGGGGGGTGACCACCCTGTAATCCCTTTTCCATTCTCTCAGGGTTTGGAGAATATACTCCTGCCTGCAGTGATTTTCAAGCCACTGGGTGCAGGGCTTGAACAGCAGCCAGCCATGGGGAATCCAGCACTTAACCACGACATGCCACCTGCTGGCCCGAATCCCGAACATTTCTTACTGACGTGTCCATCGCTAGGAAAGGTTTGAGCACGCGTCCGCAGTAGAGGTTTCCTTGCAAAGTGCTACTGTGCAAGCTCAGCGTTATGAAAATACACTACGTGGAGTTAAGCAGCCACTTGGTGATTTCTTCTGCACCTTTGGGATTCTCACACGTCCCCCACTGGAGACTACTGCTGTCTTGCTAGCCTGGGGCTCGTGGAGCGCCGTGGGCCCAGGCTGGAACAGCGGTCTCAGGCTGGGCTGGGAGGGGCTGAGTGCTACGCATGGACAGTTAGGTCTGATCTCGTGGGCGGTGGGAGCCACTGAAGATTTAAGGAGGGAAGTCACTTGAGATGCCTGGAGAGGTCGCCTAGGCTGTCTCTCTTTGGGGTTTGTTTTTTAACTTGGGAGGATCTGCCCTCATCCCGGAGATGAGCCCTCCTGGGACTCTGACTTCTCCCGCTCCGTGTTTCTGTAGGCGACACTCCCATCACCCCTTCCCTGATCCGAAAAGCAGCTCCTGAGACTGGAATACAGACCATCGTTTGAATCAGACCATCTGCACCAGACAAGCTCCTCTTTGAGGTTACCATGGCCACAGGGGGCAGGGGAACTTTAGGCCTCGTCCCCAGGAGCACCGTTTTCCAGAGGCAGGAGGGGCGCCTGACCGTGAAGCCGGAGCCAGAGAGTCAGACCTGGGCGCAGGCCTGCAGTCTCCCAAAGAAGCACCCTCCTGTCTGCGAAATCTTCCGGCTGCACTTCCGGCAGTTATGTTACCACGAGATGTCGGGGCCGCAGGAGGCGCTGAGCCGGCTCCGGGAGCTCTGCCGCTGGTGGCTGATGCCGGAGGTGCACACCAAGGAGCAGATCCTGGAGCTGCTGGTGCTGGAGCAGTTCCTGAGCATCCTGCCCGGGGAGCTGCGCGCCTGGGTGCAGCTGCACCGCCCCGGCAGTGGCGAGGAGGCTGTGGCAGTGGTGGAGGACTTCCAGAGACACTTTAGCACACCAGGAGAGGTGAGCAAGCATCCTCCCCCACCTAGGCTCTAGGCCAGTTTGTCCTTAGGGCCCCTGAGCCCGATCCACAGACAGGGGCAATGGCTCTGTGCTCCAAGCCATGAGTACATGCCGGTTCTAGGTAAGCTGGGAGTCACTTTGGGAAATACTGTGTTGGAGCCTAGTGTCAGCCTGGAGACCCGCACAGCACCCTGGTGGCCAGGGCTGGGGTGGGACTATGGGTCCGCTGCTGACGTCAGTGTGTCTGGGAAGTTCTCATTACAGACTTCCTCATCTTCCTACCTCCGTGTGACTCCGTGTGAAACATGGCATTCCGGCCTTCATAATCACCCGTGCCTGTGGCCAGTTGTCCAGACACAACTAGATCTTTCTGCTGGTTTAATTCTAATTTCAGTTTCCCCATTTCCTAGAGTTTTCTCAACTCTAAAGCCGCGGTAACTCAGACTAGGAGGAAGGTTGGGCAGAGCCAGCAGTGCGGTGCACTGGGAAACCTGGCTTTTGCACCCACAGGGCCATCGAGCTCTGCGGCCACTGGGAGTCAGGGTGCGGCCAGAGAAGCACAACCTGTGAGGTGCGTGTGTGTGCATGTGTACACAGGGTGTATTGGGAAGTGGCTTATGTGATTGGGGGTCTGACCAGGGGAGTCATCGGACAAGCCATCAGGAAGGGTGGCCCGCACCCCGGCATGACCTGAATCTGCATTGCACCAGTGGGATTTGTTATGTTGAGGTCATTCAGCTTTGCTTTTCTCTTTAAGGAATTCTTTATTTAATTTTATTTATTATTATTTTTATTTGCCATAGGGCACACATGCTCACCAGAAAGAGAGGGAAAATGAGAAAGCAAGCCACCATGTTCAGGACTCAAACCCCCGTCGGCCATGTAGGAGTCCAGCACCTTAACCGTCATGCCACCTGCTGGCCCCAACTCCGCTTTTAAGGCCTCACAGCTGATTGAGTCAGACACATTTGTCCTTCCATTATTTTGGGAAATCTAAAAGTAAACTGAATATAGACTCCAGTAAGATTAAAAAATAGGGGTCAGCAGGTGGCATAGTGGTTAGGGCAGCTGGACTCCCACATGGTTGACTGTGGTTTGAGTCCCAGACCTGACAGCTTGCTTTCTCACTTTCCTTCTCTCTCTCTCTCATCAACTTCAAAAATAAAATAATGACAATGAATAAAGTTAAATTAAATAATTCTTTAAAAAAAACCCAACTTGACAGCAGCTCCTGGATTAGGGTTTGATGAGTGCCAAGTTGCTGCCTCAAAAGGGCATCACATCACAGATAAATCAGTTCTGCCTAACGAGTCCCAGTTGCTCCCTTGTAGCTGAGCAGCCAGACCAGAGTTCCCTCTGGTTCCCCCCGTGTACTTTTTCGGAGAACAGTATATAAAATTTCCCAGATACCCAGCATACTATTGTATTCGGTACTTTCTGGAAAATGGCTCCGTATCTGTGACTAGGGAATCCGTTCCAGTCGGTCAGAGTCCAGGGCTGTTTTCCAGGAGTACCAGTGTTAAAGGCACCGGTAGCCATTGTTTTCTCTCTGTAAGCAAGTGAGCATGCACGAACAGCTCAGCAGCCCCCGGGCCTAGAGAAGAGCTGGCCACCCGCAGCCATGAGAGGCGAACATGTGTTTTAGTGAGGAGGGTGGAGGAAAATTTCCCTGTTTCCTCCTGGTTTTGCTTAAGGAGAAATGAATTCTTCCTGCATTACCATCAGTGTTTTCTCCAGGAGCCCAGAAGAAGGTGCGTGGCAAGTCACGACTCACAGGAGAGCAGCTGCACACTCGAGGCTGCAGCCGTATGTTAAGTTTTTGACGTGAGGTCACGAGGGCAGGACTGTCTTTCCTCCCAGGAGCTCAGGAAATGTTTGTGGAACAGCTTAACGAATAAACAAGCTCTTCCATGGTGGTTGACCAGGAGGAGAGTAGAGAAGATTGGGGCAAGTCAGAGTCACCCTGCTTTTTAGGATAAAGACATAAAAAGATCATTTAATGATCAATACACGCTATAGGAAATAGAACGGGGTACGCTGAGAGAGAGTGACCATCCCTCTTCGTCAGTGTGGTCAGGGAAGGCTTCTCTGAGGAGGAGCCACTTGCCAAGAGACGTTGGGAAAGTTCCCTTAAGGCGCTGAGCCACTGTTCTGGGGGACTGTGTCAGCCGTTAGCTTCAGTAGCACGGTTCATACACATGTACACACCTATCATTTTCAATTTCCTCTGTAATTCTGGATGTTCCCTTCTGTAGGCTAAGACCCCAGAGAATGTACTGAATGCCGGGGTGATGGACTCTCATTTGCCCTGGACTGGTCCTTTTCTAGATGGTTCTTTTTTTTTTTTGGATAGGTTTTCACTATAGGGCACGTGTGCTCGCCAGACAGACAGAGAGAGACAGAAAGCAAGAAATCACCCCCCGGGGGGGATGGCCATGCCGCAATCCCTTCTCCTCCATTCTCCTCTCGGGATCTTGGGCACACACGCACACGCGCCCAGCGTGAGTTTTAAGCCACCGGGTCCAGGACGCGAACCACGGTCGACTACGTGGGAGTCCAGCGACATAGCCATTATGCTAACTGCTGGTTCCCTAGATGGTTCTTCATAAGCAAATGTGTGTCTGAAGACCTGACACAGTGGACATGGTATGGAACCCGGTCCTCAGGAGGGTCTGCAGAAGGATGGCACGTAGGCTTGCAGGCCTCAGATTCTGCATTGACCGTCTCTCCCTGGTAGGCTGTCCTGGAGGGACTCCCTCGCTGGAGGGTGCTTCTGCGAGGTTTTGGCCGAGTGCTTCAGAGGATGCTCTTTGAATCCCTGTGTGCTTCCTGTCTGCAGGTCCCAGCCCCAGCACAGGAACAGCAAATGCATTTGGAGGAGACAACCGTTCTGGGTACAACAAAGGCACCTCCATATCCCTCACCTCTCAGCGGGCGCTCAACCTCTGGAGTCCTCCTGGAAGACTCTGGTGACCTAGGGGCACGTTCCCTCCCCAGTGGACACTCAGGTACAAGTCTCTCCCTCTCTCCTGTGGAGTCTCCTCTTCTTCCGCTGCCCATTCTCCCAGCCTGTTGGAGTCCCTCCTTGCCTGGCATCTGTCCCCTTCCCTAGTC